CTTAGTATAAACTCGGATGAAAGGCTTAAAATCCAAACTTATGATATGGTGAAAGGGCCACCCAACCATTTGGGCTATCCCATTGTATTTGTTTGGATGCTAGGAAAGTAGATGAATTTTTGAAAAGGTTTTGCAACCAGATAATCTAGCTACTGGATAGAGATAATCACATTTTTCAGGGAAAACTATCAAAATGAAATTACCCAATAAAAACTTTTTTCTTTTTTTTTTGAAAAAAAAAAAGAAGAAAGAAAGAAAGAGAAAAAGCCATAAACTCCCTAGAAAAATGTAGATAATTTCAGTATAAAAAATAATTTACAAACCCACTTTCTAAAGATATATAATCACACTTTAAGGGGTCATTTGGTTTTCGCGTTAGGCTAAAAAATCACAAAAGGATAAAAAAAAGTCAAAAAATTACAAAGGGATTTTTATTAATAAGTCGAATTTAGAAGTGTTTTAACCCAAGAAGTTCATGAAAAAAATTTTAACCCATTTAGTCTCATTTATGTATAGTTTTATTCCATAAAGTCCATTTTCTTGATTTACACTATTTTCTTGGACACTTATGCCCTTATATTTAATTTTGATACCCTTATAAATATTTTTTCAACGATTAGCAATTTAATGATGTGAACATTCATATTTTTAAATTCACATTTGTAGGAATGTAAATTGGCCCGTGGGCGGCCCGAAACCCGCCCGCGAGCCAGGACGGGCCCGGTCCGTTGACAATGTGAATATTCACATTGACATGTTAAAATTCACATTAATAGGAGTGTAAAATTGGCCCCCGTCCCGTGGCGGCGCGAAAACCCGCCCGTGGCCCATGCGCGGCCCGGGGCGGGCCCAGTCCGGCCCGTTGACAATGTGAATATTTACATTGACATGTTAACATTCACATTGATAAGAGTACAAAATTAGGCCGCGGCCCATGGGCGGCCAAAAGCCCGCCGCAGCCCGCGGCGAGCCCAGCCCGGCCCGGCCGTTGACAATGTGAATATTCATATGACATGTTAACATTCACATTAATAGGAGTGTAAAATTAGCCCGCCGCCTCGTAGCTGCGAAACCCGCCCACGGCCCGTGGGCGGGCCCGCGCCCAGGCCTGTTACAATGTGGAATGTTCACATTGACATGTCAACATTCACATTGATAAGAGTTTTAAACTAGACAGCGCCCATGGCGGGCGCCGACTAGCGGCCGCGCCCGTTGACAATGTGAATATTCACATTGACATGTTAACATTCACATTAATAGGAATGTAAATGGCCCCCGTCCCGTGGTCGGCCCGCGAAACCCGTCGCGCCATGCGGCCCAGGGCGGGCCCGGTCCGGCCCGTTGACCAATGTGAATTATTCACATTACGATTAGTAATATTCACATTGATAAGAGTATTCAAAATTGGCCCGCGCCCATGGACGGCCAAAAGCTCGCCATGCTGCGCCGGGGCGGCCCGGCCCGTTAGATAATGGAATATTTACATTTTGACATTAACATTCACATGATAAGAATGTAAAAATTGGCCGCCAAGGCCCAACGACCTGGCGCGCCCGCACGAGATCCCGGACCGCAGCCCGAGACGGGCTATGGCCACCCGATGCCCGATGATAGACAATTAAACAGCTCAATACTTGTACATGAATGGTAACCACATTGACATGAGAGACGTGAAAATAGCCGGCCCCGTGGCTGCCGAACCCGCCACGCCGCGACGCCCGAGGAGGCCGGCCGGAGGGGCCCTGGCCCGCCTGTTGACAATTGCGAATATTTCAACAAATTGTAATTTAATATTCAACATGATAAGAGTGTACAATTAGCCGGTGCCCATGGGCATCCGCAAGGCCCGACCTCAGCCGGCCGGGCCCGCCCAGGCCCGTGGTCGCAATGTGAATATATTTACATTGACATGTGTAACATTCACATGAATAGAGTGTAAATTGCCGGGATCCCGTGGGCGGCCCGAAGCCCAATCGCAGCCCGAGCGGGTGGACCCGTACCCGACAATGTGAATATTCACATTGACATGTTAATAATTAACTATTGATCAGTGAGTGTAAAATTCGTCCGGTGCCGAAGCTCTGCCCGCGGCCCGCGGGTAGGCCCGAACCCAAAACCCGGGCCACCCCGGGCCACCCATGGGTTCGGGCTGCCCATGACCGAGTAATACATCTTACAATTGATGTAATCAATGCTGAATGATTAACATGTCAAGTGAATCATGGCGCTTCCCGCCTCGGGACCGTCCACGGGCCGTGGGGCAGTTGTTTCGGGCAGCCACGGGACACGAGGCTAATGTTACTCTTTCAATGTGAATGTTAACATTCAATGTGAATATTCACGTTGTCAACGCTGGCTGACCCGCGTCGGCCGGGCCGTGCTTCGGGCTAGCCCACGAGTCACGGGCTAATTTTACACTCTTATCAATGTTAATGTTAATATGTCAAATGTAATATTCACATTGTGAATGAGCCGGGCTAAGGCCCGCCCTGCAGGCTAGCGGCGCGAGCGCTTCGGCCGCTCCACGGGTCACGGGCCCAATTTTCACTCCTATCAATGTGAATTTCTTAATATGTCAATTGCTGAATATTCACATTGCAACGGTCCGGACCGGGCTTCGCCCCCGGCGCCGCCCATGCGACGGCGAATGTCAATTTTACACTCACTATCAAATGTGAATGCTTAATATGTCAATGGGAATATTCACATTGTCAACAGGGCTGGCCCGGGCCAGGCCGCCCCGGGCCGTCACGGGCCGTGGGCTAGTTCGGGCAGCCACGGGGCGCGCGGCTAATTTTATAGTTATCCATATAATGTGAATGTAACATGTCAATTTGTAGAAATATTTGCATTTTATTCAAAAGTGGACGGGCCGGCCCGCCCAGGGCAGCCCACGTAGCCGCGGCGGTGGTTTTGCGGCCGACCACAGGCCGCGGCCTAATTTTACACACTCCTATCAATTGTGAATGTTAACTTCAATGTGAAATTCACATTGTCAATGCGGGCGGGCCCGCCGACCGCCGCGCTTCGGGCTGCCCACGGGTCATGGGCCAATTCTTGACCACTCTTGTCATTAATGTTAATGTTAATATGTCAATGTGAATATTCATATTGTGAACGGGCTGCGCTTCGGGCCGCCCAACGGGCCGCAGGCCAATTGTACACTCGCCCATCAAGTAAGTTACTTGTCAAATGTGAATATTCATATTATCAACGGGCCGGGTCGGCCTATTTTTTGGCTGTGGGCCAGGCGGCCCGACTCGAAATTTTTCCCGGCACCACGAGGATCGACATGAGCGGCCCCTACACATTTGACGAATAACATTATTTATTGACGGTGTGAAATTCACATTAAGGGCATTTTGTAATTATGTCACCCCATAGAACTTATTGAAACGATAAGAAAATAATGCTGAACTAAATGGAACAATAATGTAGATGAAATGGTATTTTGGTCTTCTTATCTCAAATTGGACCTAATGGAATAGTCAAAAAGAATATGGGTTGGATGGAATAAAACTCTTAGAAAATAGATTTATCAAAAAAGCTCCCAATTACAAAAGGACAAAAATTACAAAAAGACAAAAAAAATTTGTCATTTCAAAGCTAGAAAAGCCAAACAAGAATACCAAACGACCAAAAAAGTCTCAGGCTAAAAAAGTCAAAAAAATCAACTAAAAAAGTCATTGCCAAACGAGCACTAAATCTAATGATGTATAAGTGAGATAATTAATTAATAATTAAAAAAATTATGAGATTTATCTTAGATATTCTAATTAATTATCGTATCAAATATTTAATTAATTATCATATTATTGGGTTTGAAAAAAAAAAAATTAATTTTTGTTTTGTTTTGTTAGAAGAGCAATGTCCAGATTAGGAATGGCAACGGGGCGGGGCGGGACCGAGGATCACACCCCCTGTCCCGGTCCCCGATTGTGAAAATCTCCCCGGCCCCGGCCCCGACCCCGGCCCCGATCCCGATCCCCGACGGGGACCCTACCACCATCCCCATCCCCGCCCTCCAACGGGGATCGGGTTTCCCCGCCCCCCAAACCTGTTTCAACAACACAATCAACAACAACAACAACATCATCATCATCCCCAATCATCAACAGATCATAAAAAATAAATAAATAAATAATTGGATAGATACACAAACATACATGAATAAATACAAACAGATCTGAGATCGGCGTCGCGGACAGTGGATGAAGGAGGATTGGCGATGGGTGGCTCAGCACCGTGGCTGTGAGTGCGACGACAGAGGAGGACGACCGGAAGAGGAGGAGGAGGAGGAGGCGGCGGTGGCCTGGAAGAGGAGGAGACGGCAGTGGAGGAGGCGACGAGAGGCGGAGCAACCGACTGCGTGCGAAGAGAAAAAAAAGAGAGAGAGAGACAGATCAGAGAGTGAGGCGTGCGAAGAGAAGAAAGAGAGAGAAAGACAGATCAGAGAGTGAGGCGAGGGTAAGTGTGATGAGATTATCTGGGTGAGAGTGATGAGAATTGCTCTACTTTATATATATATAATGGACAAATTATCCGTCACAGATTGTACACGGGGATTATATATATATAAATGGACAGGGGCATTATGGTAATTTTACTTCGGGCAAAACACAGGGCCGGAGACGGGGCTGTGAAAGTGATCCCCGTCCCTGGCCCGAAACTAGTCGGGGATTTAATTTTAAATACCATCCCCGGCCCGTTGGGGGTATTTTTGGGGAAAAAGGGGAAAACCCGCTCTTATCGGGGACGGGGGGTCGGGTCCCCGTCGGGCCGGGTTCAAATTGCCATCCCTAGTCCAGATGGCATTACCCTTCCCTTGAATCAATGATTCCCAACTTTGGTTCACCATTCAATTATAAGAAAAGCAAATTTCACATTATTCCTCAAAATTTTGGAATGTCTTAAACAGCATGAAATGTTAAAACCAAAACTTCGCATGATTGCAATAAATCCTCACTTTTCCTTCTAAAAAGGATAAATCACATGAATTCTACGAACAAACCATGTTTAAATAGTTGAACTTTCTTTAAAATTACACAAATAGTTCCATATTTTCAAAATTCATCCACGCCAAATACTCAGAAAGGAAAGATCACCGATGCATTTCATCACCAATTATATGACCCAATTCATGTCAGGTTAGTGGAAGGGCATGCTATGAACATATGAAAGGCAAGGTTTGCGAATTTTCTATATATTCACATAAAATGAGGAGAGCATATATCTATTAAAATTGACCTTCTCCGGCAATTTGGGTGTCGGCAATTTGGGTGTCGGCTGCAGAGATCGATCTAAGCTCACAAATTTCAAATTCTCTGAAAGTGTTGTTCAATGCTGTGAATTGAGCAGTGCCTCTTTTCTTTTCTTTTCTTTTCTAGTCAGTGAGCTTTTTCAGCTCGTGTCCAAGCTTGAGGACGGTTTGGAAAGTGCGTCATGTTGATAGATGGGCCGCAAGATGCCCTCTGGAGGACACGGTGCAGGAGCAGGGTGTGCAATGAAAGTCGGAATGTCTTCTCCAGGCATCAACACCGACACCCCTCTGGCATAAGTGGTTATCTGCAAATGTAACCAAATAAATAAATAAAATACATGTATACACTTTGAGAAAGTAATTCAGGGGCAAATAATGTCATGAAAGCACACCACAACATGAGCAGGACCACAAACAAGCTTATAATTATAATCCAATTTAACAAAGCAGTGCAATCACATTACATTGAAGTAGGCCTGTCAAAAGACCAGATTCAAACCCTATCTAGTGTAACCCAAATGCTATCCAATTGTAAAATTGAAATATACAGTTCAATTTATTTAACCAACCAATGTTTTCTAACCTAAATTAGACATTAGGTAGGAATCACTGGCAGCAAGTTTTAGATCTTTTTTACAAGGGTTAGGAGTCGGGTTGTAAATGAATCAAACTATTCGCGAGCTCGGCTCGATAAGGGCTTGGATCGGCTTAGTTAGTTAAGCAAATAAATGAGCTCGAGTTAGACTTTTAGGCTCGTTTAATAAATGAGCCAAGCTCAAACTCGAATAAGCTTAGCTTGTAAAGTTTTGCTTGTTTATCTTTATTTAAATAATGCAGTAATAATATAAAAATGTGTATAAATAATAGGATAAATTTATTATTTATATATATAAAATAATGTAAATAATAGCAAAAAAAATTATCAAGCTTCGACCCGAGCTTGAGCTAAATTTTCAAGCTCGATAAACAATCGAGTTGAGCTCATGCCCTGCAAAGCTCGGCTCGTTTGCAGCCCTAGTAACAAACAACAATGCTAAGTACCTAAAAAATACCAAAAAAACAATGTGTGATAGAGATTCATTTCAAGTGTAGGTCCCATTATACAAAAATTAAGGGGTTGTTTGGGATATTCTAAATAAGTGCACTTTTTGACATTTTATTAAATATGGGTTGGGTTTGAAGTGATATGGTAGAGATGTGATTCGAGTTAGACTTTTAGGCTCGTTTAATAAATGAGCCAAGCTCAAACTCGAATAAGCTTAGCTTGTAAAGTTTTGCTTGTTTATCTTTATTTAAATAATGCAGTAATAATATAAAAATGTGTATAAATAATAGGATAAATTTATTATTTATATATATAAAATAATGTAAATAATAGCAAAAAAAATTATCGAGCTTCGACCCGAGCTTGAGCTAAATTTTCGAGCTCGATAAACAATCGAGTTGAGCTCATGCCCTGCAAAACTCGGCTCGTTTGCAGCCCTAGTAACAAACCACAATGCTAGGTACCTAAAAAATACCAAAAAAACAATGTGTGATAGAGATTCATTTCAAGTGTAGGTCCCATCATACAAAAATTAAGGGGTTGTTTGAGATATTCTAAATAAGTGTACTTTTTGACATTTTATTAAATATGGGTTGGGTTTGAAGTGATATGGTAGAGATGTGATATGACTTAAATAAGATGATGTGGCTTAAATAAGATAGTGACTTTTTGACTTTTTTAGTATATGCCAAACAATGCCTAAATCTGAACCACACATCACATTCACGGTACATTTCTTGGAAATTCTTTCGGGTTCCTATCTTTTCTTGGTTTAAAGTGCTCAGCTTTAATGCGATAAAAGTTTAATAAACTACAAATTATGGTTGTTTTGTTTATGTAATTTGGACAAGAACACATGGTTGGTGACCAAACATGTGACCCATTAGCCCAAACACACCATGGAAAGCAGACACACCCATTATACTAATGTCCCTCCAACTCATGTCACAGGTTGAACAAGTATATAAAAAGATTATTAAAACAATCACTAGAGCATACCATTGAAATTAATTACATATGCATTAATAGCTTATACTTTAAAAAACATTTCATTCATAAACCTTCTCAGACAACATTAAGCAAACATTACTGATATTTTATCCAAAATGTTCAATCTAAATAGATTGAAGTAATCCAGATGTTTATCGTGTATTTGTATCGCCACCTTGAGTTAACCCCCACTCTTATATGAACTTTGAAGAAAATGGCATAGACCTATGAATATTGTACCTTTTTTTTTTATTCTTGCTTTTTGATAAAAGTGATGCGTTGGGATTCTAGGGATTATTATTCCAAGATCTCAATCAAATAAGGTTGTGTTTTCGTGCAGTTGTAATACAATATTCAACTAAAATAATGCAGTATTTTCATAATGCATCCCACTATATATAGATATATACTCCAAAGCATCCTACTCATCCTCCATGGAGATGATGAAATTAATGGACTGTTAAAATAATCACCCTTCAATCAACAAGCTCAAATTTCGCAATGAAAACATTAATATATCTAACCATCAACAAACTGAACTTTTCTTAAAAAATAAAATGGCCACATGTCATAATTTACCAATTGGATGAATTCAAACTTGGTGGGATGACTAAACCACTTTACCCGAAAATATTTGATGTCTAAGAAAGCTATCTTGGAAACATATTTTAGTTGCAATTGCGGAATGGAAACATCTGAGAGATGTCATTATATGTGGTTGACAATTTGGTAATTTAAACACTTTTTAATTTGTGTTCAAGCCAAATTTGGCTAGAAATTTAGCGCCTGCTTTGGCGTAGTTTCTCATAGTTCAAAGTCATATTAGTCAAGAATAGTAATCAAAAACCAAATTTGTCAAGCATGCCAACTTGGCTTGTCTAGTATGAGACCTATTAGTTGGATCATCTATGTGCAATGGAAATCAATAAATCTTCCATAATTTTTATACCATAAAAACCCATATATCATGATGTGACAATGCCAAATGATATACAAATACAATTTATTTACAAAAAAATTGTAACTTTATAACACTTCAGTTGATAATTATAAATAAAATAAAATAAAAAAATACTATCACATCATGTTCTATAGATTTTTTGTACAAAATTATGTTTGAGTAGAATTTTTATTGTCAATAATTGGATTGTATTAGTTTATATAGCTTTAGAGCATCTTCAATCCTTCACAAAAAAATTTCATCAAATGAGGGATGAATCAAATCTTTTGTAAATTTCCAAACAACTATTTTTTCACTTAAATTCGATGAAATTGTTAAAAGAAGAATGGATTTCAATATTTTAACCTAAATTGAGATTTTTGGCATATGTTAGGTATTTTTTAGAAAAAATTGATGAAAATGTAATTCTCACCCTGGCCTGAGCTAATATATCAAATCAAATTTCCAATCTAATTTGTTGAACAAATTTAATGGAAAAAATGGTGAAGGGTGGAGAATGCTCTAACCGATATTAACCAAATCATATCATATGGGACCCTGCTAGCAACCTACTTGTCTCATTGTAGTTTTTTATTTTGACAAACAATGACATGAACAATAAAGAAGAAAGTTTTTCCAACTTAAGGATCCACCAAAAGGTAAAGCTAGCTTAAAAATGATTTTGAAAGAAAGGCAAACAATTTTCAAGTGGAAAATTATCACAAAATAACAAAAGAAGATCAATCAATGAAGGTAGTGTGTGAGGGCCAACAGGTTTACTGTGCCATTTCCTACAACCAACCAATGGTTAAAAAAAATAAACTTAAATCACCAAAACAAACTTTCCTCTAAGAGCTATAATTGTATCAAGGGCTCATCCATAATTAGCATTAATCACCAGTCAAATTTGCAAAGATTAGCCATAATTACACACAAAGAAATCAAGGGTGATTATCTATATATTGTGATTGATGAAAAAAAAGTAGGATTAGGATATTATGATTTTATATTAGGTGGTTAAAATATATGAAAACATGATGAATTATGATGATGAATCATGATTGGTAAGAGAATGATCACATACTAGTTGGGAAATGCCTAATAATTTTTCAGAAATCAAATAACTGTCACAGTAAAGTTTAGTTGGTCTACACATTGCATTTCATAAAAAACACAAAAACCCAGAACATGCAGAGAGAGAGAACTTTGCATATCAAAGAACAAATAGCTTTATACACACGCGAACCCACAAAATGTAGAGAGAGAGAGAGAGAAAGAGAGTACCTTGGGAGAAGGGTAATTGAGCTTTCCGCCAGCCATAATCTGGGCCTCGAGATCGGCAGGATTCCGGCCGCCGGCAGCGGCGGATCGGGGGCGGAGGAACCTCTCGAAGATGGCCATAACGAGGAACATTGAAATGAGAATGGCAGTGGCAACGAACCCAAACGACACCGCATCGACAGAGTTGTCGAAATGGCTCCAATGGTCTTCTCTATCTACTACACTACTACTCACCGGAGCTACACTCGGTGGCACTGTTCCCCACCCTCTATCTCCTCCTCTCATTGTCCTCCAAATTTAGCAGAAATTTTGATCTTCAATCTCTCTCGCATCAGCAATCAAACTGACGAATTGGGGTGAGAGACACAGAGAGAGAGAGAGAGAGAGATGAAACGCAAGATGAAGAGAGAGACCCAGTTCGACTTTTCTTCATGTCATTGTAGTTCTGGCTTTGTTGATGAAAATGGCCATGGCAATGGCGAGCTAATTTCAAAAGGCTAATTAGAAGGAATTGTGAAGGGAGAGAGAGAGAGAGAGAGAGAGAGAGACTGATGGATTCGAAAGGCTAATTTCGAGGCTTTTGGGGTAATACCCAAATTGGCTAAAGCTATGGTCTGCTTTTCACGGGGAGAAGAGGAAGAGAGAGAGAGAGAGAGAGAGAGAGAGAGATGACCAGAGAGAGCGAGGTGTTGAAAACAGAGGGTATTCTTTGGATGGTTCGACGTGCTATAAAACGGTGGATCAAATTTTTATCAAATTTAAATAAAATTTTGAGTAAAAGTTTTATTTAGGCCTCGTGATGATTTTAGTAAAAAAAAAGTCATTAAATAAATTAAGAATAAATTATAAATATATTTATTGAGATTTACTTAAATTATGAATTACCTTTTATGGTTTAAAAAATTACAAATACCTCTCTATTAGAATTTTTTATTTAATAGAATTAATTAAAAAAGTAAAAATTTCTAACTATTCACCTATATAATAATAATAAAATTATCTAAATTATTAATTGAAATAAAATTTTAACATTATTAAAAATTGTTAATTAACTTGATAATTTATTAATAAAAAAAACATATTTGTTATGAAATTAAAAACCTTAGGGGGCATAATGTAATTTCTAGAATTACAGGAGTAATTTGTAATTTAAGAAACCTTAGGGTAGGGGTGTGTTTGTAATTTACTCAAAAATCAAAAAGCCAACAAATTATACCAATAAATCAAAGATTCTATTTTCTCTCTACTTTTTGCACATCTTGTCGTAAAAAATTAAAAAGTTATCCCCAAACATATTAGTTTTTTTAATCATATTTTAGTTAAAAAGTTACTAAAAAAGCATGTTTCCAAACGAGGCCTTAATATCAAGTGCTTTAACAGAGATTTTTGAAACTTCGTTAAAATATTGGTCAATCGAGTAGACGATCGAATAGATGTCTGGCCGGTCAACTGGTCAGTATAAATTTTTTATAAATTTTTGCCTTGACATGGTCATCCAGAGGGTCGACCGAGCAGACGACCGGAGAGTCGACCGATCAGTGTAATTTTTTCACAAATTTTTTCCTTGAGATGTTCAACCGAAGGGACATTCAAGGATATTCAGTGGTGAAAATTAAACGGCTATGAACATTGATTAGATGAAAGGCACATTGGTCCTCAATTTCCTGAAAGAAAAGTGAAATCCTGAATTTGATACCTATTTAATGAAACCGTTAGAGCAAAAAAATGAGTCATTCTTCACCAAATTCAAATATGATAATAGTTTGAGTAATCATTGGAGATGGTCTAAGTATGAGACTCACTCGCTTATTTTAATTAACTAGTTGTTGGTACGTGGGTTGCATGTGCTACATAATTTTTTACCAATTGTTAATATTGTAATTATGCGTGTCTCTTAGTTGTCCTTCAGCGATTGGCTTTTTTTTTTTTTTGTGTGACTATTTTAGCTCAGGCTAAAAGGTTCATTTGGATTAGTTTTTTTTGGCTTTTTTGAGTTTTCTAAGAGAAAAAGTAAAATAATTATGTTTTAGATGTGACATTTTATCTTATTAACTTTTTAACCAATTTTGTCTTTTTATGATTAATTTTAGTCTCGGCTAAACTTGCCAAACGAAGTTGTATGTGATATGTATACAAAATATGAAAACTTGTATGAGTAAATTGATTTGTATTGAAATACAATTAAGCAAGAAATGAATACATACTTGGCTATAGAATTTAAATGATAAATAAGAAATTTTACAAATATAAATATTAATTTATAATTAGATTGCTGAGATCATAATCTTATCTTAAATATAACCAATAAGTAGATACTTTAAATATATAGTATTATACAAATATTTTTTTTATCAACTTTTTCACTTCAATTTTTCATAATTCGTACATGTAATACAATTGAATGTATAAAATTAATTGCACAATTACATAATTTTGTTTAATAGTTTATCTCATAAAGCAAATTCATTGAAGTCACTATTGCATATTATTTGCATATTATTGGTGTAAGAATGCATTAATATCAATATATAAATTATTTTTATATATCAAGAGTTGTTGAGTCTTATTTTATGTGCCATGAATATCTTGCATGATGAAAAATATAACGTTAATTATTAGTATATTTTTATTTATGTAGAAAATGTGGAATATTTTTTTTTTTAAGAAAATAGAATGATATTTCGATCGATATAGAAATTTCATAGGAGTAATTATTTTCACGATATTTATAGATTTATACTTAGCCTCCGTTTGGGAAGTGGGTTGGCTTTTTGGCTTTTTGGCTTTTTTGGCTATTTTAGCCTGGGCTAAAAAGCTTGGTTTGGGAAGGGCTTTTTGGCTTTTTGGCTTTTTTGACTTTTTTTGTGAGAGAAGAATGTAATGATTATAGGTTGGATGTGATGTTTTGTTTGTTATGGCTAAAATAGCCTATTTTGTTTTTTGTGGCTAAAATAGCCAAAAAAGCCTGAAAAAGCTCTTGCCAAACACAGGCTTATAAGTGTCTTCAGGGTCACTTTCATAAAACTATTAAGTTACATATAATTGTTATGGCATCTGTAAGTATCAACATATAACAAAAATTGATCAAAACTTTTTATTTGATGTAAATACTTTCTGCATCATTGAGTTGTTGTGACAATATTGTTTGGGCATCATTTGATTTTTTTTTTCTTTGTAATTTGACTAAAATGTTCGGTTGAGGTACATTATTTTTCTTAAACTTCACAACAGATAGGATAATTTATGCTTCATCTCGTCTAACTTTGCTTGGAATGCATATTGCAATAGATCTTCTGTTGTTTTTATTTCACAATCTTCTTGTTTTTCTTCTTAGAGCATCCGTATCAAACCAGCTAAAATTGTTTTTTAGCTAAATTAGTGATACTGTTCATAAAAAATGGACCTTCATCAGTCTCGCTACACCATGTCACTAATTTACGAGTGCTACAGTATCTCGCTACAACAAGCGAGGTACTGTTCATCGCTACAACATGGAGATTAATGTTACCATATGTTTGCCTAAAAGTCCGGCCTGTCAACCCACCAATGGCCATTTTTTTTTTGTTGCATTTTTTAAGAATTATTTGGCTGGTAACTCATCAATTTAATAAAAAAAGGAAAAATAACAAACACAATAAGAAAATAATATTTTAATAAGATTAAGTTAGAATAGATAGTTTAATACAGTAGGTATTAAAGAGGTGACTAGCTAAAATTGTAAAATAGCTTTTATAGCTATAATTTGACTAAAATTTTGAAAAAGCTGGTGTGGATGCTCTTACTCACTATTATAACTCATTTTAATAAAAATATTTTGATGATTAAGAGTTTGAAGCGATATCACATTATTATGAATTTCAAAATCCATTTTCCTTCAATAATGTAATTTTTCTATGAGGGAAAAAAAGTATAATTATTGTCGTAACGGAGGTGTTTTGTAAAGTCTTAATTTGTTACAGAAAGTATTTTTTGTGGACACTTATTTGTATGACATGTATATATATATATATATATTGAATATAAGTTGATAGGAGAACAATACACAATTTTACAGTTTTTTTCCTAACAAAATATAACTATATTACTAAAGCGATACATGTTAGAAACTTAAAAATATCTGATGGTAATATAACATTATATATTGGCAATATATAAATACAGTAACATATTTAAATTTACATTTGTATTATATATATATATATATTTATATATGTAGACGTTGACATATATAACATATTACAAAAGTAATATGTAAAATCTTTTGTAATAATACAATAAAGGTAACAATGAGAAATTAACTATTCATAATTAGATAGTTGGTAACAATGTAAATGTTTAGTATTACATTTTTATATGTATGCACTATTTTTTTAATTAGATTATTAAATTCACATAAAAATTGAAAGGAATTTGTGAATTATTTGTCTAAAATTAGAAATTGTGTATTTTTTTTTGGAAAAAAATATTAATAATAAAAAATCATTACATGTTTGAATTTATAAATTTTTTTACCAATAATTTTCTTTTTAATTCTATTTAGATTATTAAATATTAGATTTTCATGTAAAAGTATAATTTAAATATAAAATATGAAAAAAAATTAGTATCTTTAATCACCAAAATTGAAAAAATATGAAAAATCAAAAATTGAAAAATAGATTTAAAAAAAAAAAACCAACAAAAGTAGTTATAATTTAGAATTTTGAGATCATACCTTGGTTATTAATATACCATATAAAATATTATAGTTCATAAAATATAATTTAAACAAAAATAAAAGTGTGTGAAGATAACCTACAAATTTTCGATGCAACACAAATTTCTGTTTTAAAAACGCATACGCTTTCTTCTATCTAGATTCGAACAAATACATTCAACTTTAAAATTCAACCAAAATTATTCACAATGATTTGATCCATGATGGACAATTGTAAAAATTATGTATATTAGTATAGAAACAGACACAAGAAATAAGAGAAAGTATTTATTTTTAGTTTTTCAATCATCATTAATGTAAAAAATATGAAAACGATTTTTTTGTATTTTTTTTTTATAAGAAGGGGAACAATTTATTTATATTTATATAGGACTCTTGAAAGTAGATATATCACTTTTGAATGTTCAACTCCAAAAATAAAGAGATAGTTGGTTTATATATCATGATTTTTAGAAAATATAATAAATTTGAGAGAATGAAATTGAGATATAAAAAATGTAAAATATATGATAGGCTCTTCACATTTTTATAATAGTAGTAGATAGTAGATTAATTAAGAGCAAATGTTAAGGAGAATTTTTTCGGAGCATTTTCATTCCATAAGTAAATAGTACTATAATTATAATAATTTAGGGACTATGCTTGACCTAAAAAAGCATATTTTTTTATCTTTTTATTTTATTTTGTCATATCATCTTTTTATTTTTTTATTTTACATATTATGAAAAGACATGCAAAAAATATAAATGTGTTGTGATCCAAATAAGACAAAAAGTCAATAAATTAACTTGTAAGTTAGTTTCCGAAAAAAGCCTAAGGCATCGTTTGGGAACAGCTTATTTTAATAACTTTTTAATTTTTACGAAAAGATATGTAGAAAAGTAGAAAGAGTGACGTGACAACTTATAATGACTTTTTGACTTTTTAACTAAAACATGTAGTTGTCAAACAAAACCTAAGTCTAATTTTAAATTTTTTAGTCAACAAC